TTATTTAACATTTTTTTTTTTTGCTCATAAATTCATCAAACCAATGTTACCATGCTGAAAGAAGAATAAATCATATCTTGACAATTATAATTTTTTTTATATAAAGTGTCTAAATTCCATCTAATCTGAACATTTTAAATATCTCCTTTATTATAGAGGATTTTTTTATTGCCTTCAAAGAAGCAAATATAATAACAAGCGATAAATTTTCTCAAGATCATCTTTTCTCGAAATTCAAAGTTATCGAAGTTTTTGATATAATAGTTAAAGTCAAGACGATTTGACCGATCTTCTATTACTTCAATTAGTAATTACTACAATATGACCTTCGTGTTAAGCTTCAACTGATCGTCGAATTTTGGGAATTATAAAAATTCAGATTTTTATACCGCTTAATTTTTTATACAACTCTATTACTTTATTGATCTCTATCAGAGAGGATATAATCTTAAATTCTTGTAACATAATCGTGTGACCACTCGATTTATTGCCAAGGGGAAACCTTGGGTACAAAAATTCAAAAGTTGGACAACTGATGCAAATAATGAGATTCGAACGAAATATCTTTTTTTGCCTAACATTTTCCCTTGTTATAAAAGATAATCTGGATATCTAAGATGCTAAAATTAGGCAAAGCATCGTGCTTATCTTAAAAATCTAGCAAAATGAACTGTACAGTATAAGGTTTTCCAAGGATTGCATTAACCTAAACACGGCACATTTCGTTTCCGTGGAGGACATGTAACATTTTAATACAAAAATGTGATGATTCATATTACATAGTATAATACCATCCACGTGCTTTGATACTCGAGGAGTTTGCTTTTTCGCTTGTTCTCATTTTCTACTATTTTCCTCTTCTTCGCAGGGGAACTATGATACAATCTAATCACATGAAATATATAACTTTTGAAAACATAGCTCTATTCTCAAAATTATGTAGTTTGGTTAAATTTAGTTTCAATAATTGTCATTTCTCACCAAATAAAAGCTACAAAAAAAAAAAAA